CGTTGATTGAGAAACAAAAATCTGGTCATGTGACCTGTTTATGGGAACGCTCGGGTTTCCTTCATGAACACTGGGACTTTTGAGCGCTCTGCTAAAGCGGACTGACTTCACTGCTGAAGTGCAGCAGAGTGGCTTTGCATGATCTTCATAATAATGCTTGTCTGTCTCCTCCCACTGCACACTCGTGTGTTTGATGGGGATGGATGGAGGCGCTGCTCGTGTTTAACGTTGGAGGGCGACCCTGTGAGAAAGTTTAACCATGAATCACCATCAAGTATTCACGAGCGCCTCTGATCACTGACCAATGACTGTGACCAGTCAGAGAGGCTGACGGGGGCGTGGTCTCCCACAGGGCTGCTTCAAACAGACAGAACAACTCAAACTGACTTCAGGTCAGTTATGTTGGACCACAGACTGTAAATAAAAGATGTATGCAGCACCATGATGCCAGCGTGCCGGTCACGAGGCGGGGACGGTGTAAGTGCCACACAAACAGTTCCTCTTTCTTCAGAAGTCATGTTTACATCAGTTTGAACGTTTGCTGCCTGCTTTGGAGATGTCGGAGTCGAGGGCAGCATAGAGGTGAGCAATGTGACGTCACTTCCTGTTTGTACGAGCGACAGATCGAGCCGGGCACCTGCTGCAGGTACAGAACAACTTTGTTCCCCGAGCGGTGTTCCTAAATCCGTTTATGTGGCATCTGTTGTAGTTCCCTCAGCGTTCCCCGCCTGTGTGGATTGGGGTCTCGGTGCTGTGGCCCTGTCTTGGGTTCACGCCGCGCGTCTCCGCTGTTGTTGAATACTTTCAGCTTTGCCTCGTTCTCCACCCGTCTCTGACAGTCCCGTGTGAACACTGTTGTGTTCGCCGTTTAATTCCTGTTTCCATGTCTGGATGATTTTGTCCTCGGCTTTACATTACAGGATTTGGAGATTTTTAAGAAAACTGTTGGTGGCCTCAGGCCCCCTTAAAATGATCACAGCTCAGCGTCCCCTGAAGTGAGGTAAACATGAATGTGTGTGTGCAGACTGGGTCTAGATAATCCTGGTTCAGCCTTTCTTCACACCCACAGCGATGACTGACGGACTAACGTGTGTGTTGGGCTGGGAAGATTTGAAAAACACTTACCTGTGCGTACCTGCCGCGTCGCGCCTCTCATTAATGACATCACGTGCTGTGATTGGCTCCTGGGGCTCATTGTTATTTTTCACATATAAAGCATCAGCAGGGAGTGATGGGAGATCATAAAGAGCTGTAAGCTGCTGCTGCGTTGTTTACAGGTGAGACTCCGCCCCCTGAGGGTGCCGCATCATCGCACTTGAAACATAAAAGCAGAAAACTCGTCAGCTTCACTGTTTTTAAATAAAGCTGTCGCTATGGAGACATGCGTCTGCTACCCCATAATATTATCATAGTGTGTGTGTAAACATCTGGCTCACAGGTAGAAAGAGGAATACACACACA